CAGAACCCCCCAAGCAACCATAAATTGAGCATTGGATCCCTGCGACTCCGCACACCAGGAGACACCGAGAGCAACTCACAACAATGCATTGCCCCTGCCAAACAAGTGCTTCACATACCTGCTCATTATCTCTTTTTACTGCATCACTTCGCACCACCTCAAAGACCATAAGGCACAACAAAGAGTCACCCACCATCCCCAGCAACCTTTTCTCTCCTTTTTCGGTGCTGCTCGCCTCCCATGAGTGGTGCACCATCAGCCAATGATGCCCAACAGTCGTCATGTCGGACACACAGCGAGCAATAGCCATCCAGTGTTTTTTGAGGTTGACTTCCATCAACCTCTTCAACCCAGAAATTACCTCTGCAGTAGTAGCAGCCCAAATCCGGAAGAGAAAAAAATACAGGTTGCGTGCCACATCCACAGTCACCTCCAGCATTGCNCCAGCAACCTTTTCTCTCCTTTTTCGGTGCTGCTCGCCTCCCATGAGTGGTGCACCATCAGCCAATGATGCCCAACAGTCGTCATGTCGCATCCGCAGCCAGCAATGCGCATCCAGTGTGTTTTTTTGGTTTACATCCACCCACCTCTTAAGCCCACAAATTACCTCTGCAGTAGTAGCAGCCCAAATCCGGAAGAGAAAAAAATACAGGTTGCGTGCCACATCCACAGTCACCTCCAGCATTGCTGTTAATTCAGCCTTATTCTGCACGTTGTAGAGTAGGCAGCACAGCAGAGGGAGTATCCTGACGGGCAGTCCGCAGATGCAACTTGATCCATGTTTCTCATCCCCCACAAACACCTTCCCAAGAGTGCCTACACCGTGAGATTGCTGGCACTCATTCCTACTACCCATGGAAGTGTCCTTCACGAGGGGGAAGAGCACTAAATCTAACCCTCTGTTCACGCTAAGCCTCACCAGCACCAATCACCCACACACACCCTCAATTTAAATCCCCCCCACCAATACGCCTAATTACTCTTCGTACATTCATCACTATGCATTGACGTGGGTACTCTCTTTCCCTCTCCACCTCTCACACATATACAGAGGAGAGGGCGTCATCGTTGGATACCATCCCGTTGAACACTTGGAGACGTATGTCGCAAATAGAAACAAAAATGTCCATTGCTGCGAGCGGGAGACCCGCACAGTATATCGTTAAGACAGTTCGTCGTGCTGCGGCTGTGACTATTGTTGCCAGGCTTTCAGGTGACCTCAGAAAACAATGGTTATCACCCTATGAGTTCCACCGAAATCTACAGGCACCCGTTACTCTTAGCTACCATGATATACGCCTAATTGTGATCCCAGCAACAAATGCAGATCAAGGTCCCTGTAATTTGGTTATGAAGACCCTCAAAGCACAGAATCTCCTCTGACAGTATAACAGCATCGCCCTGTAGCTCTCTTCCGAGCGCGATGAACTGTTTTTAAAAAAAGAAGGAATAAAACATTTGTGGGAGAGGCCAAACATAGCGTGTACAGTTTTGCCAGAATTAATTTGTGGATGATGCAAAAGCACCCCCGCCCACACACACACACACACACACACACAACCGCTCAGCCGTTCTCCCTAAGTTCTGCAACAGGATTGATGTCGTGTCATTAAAGAACTCCTTCAGTGTATCATTCATTGCCCACACTTCGAAAAGAAAGAGTGTTAAAACTCTCATGCGATCAGTTCCCACTCCTTCATTGCTTCTTCCAATGGTGGTGCTTTTGAAAAGGTCTTGGAACGCCAAGCCTCGTGAAATCCAGTTTCGCATTTCAAGATCTTTAGCAACATGTGCCGCGAGTGGGGGGGCGTTGTGGCTTGTTGAAATTGAGCCCAGATGCGTGATCGTCACCGCTCTTCATTTTCTTTTTGTCGTACACTGACCGCGCAAGCTCGTCAAATGCCTGTTGGACACCTGCTCGCGTCTTGGCTGATGTAAATGCTAATAGCATGCGGCGTCTCTGTGCAAGTTGCTGAGCCTGTTCTTTTGGTAGAGCCATTAAAGAGGACGCCTCACCTTCAGTACCTTCTCCTCGGCCACACTTGTCAATCTTGTTCCCAATGAGCAAATACACCGCCTCATCATCACCATCTACTCGGCAAAAGGCGTCTGCTTCCTCGATCCACCTTTGGAGACCATGGAAAGTCTGCGGTTCATTCACGTCGTACACCAGCACAACAGCATGAGCTCCACGGTAGTACGAGCTTGTCAAAGTCCGGAAGCGTTCCTGCCCCGCTGTGTCCCAGAGATGCAGATTAACGTTCTTCCTTGTACCGTCCGAATCAACAACCTCCACAGTCTTCACCTTGAAGTCAATACCTATAGTCGAGCTGATGTCAGGGTCGAAAGTTCCTGAAGCAAAGGAGAGCATAAGTGAGGACTTCCCCACTCCACTATCCCCAAGGAGGAGAACTTTTATGGCAGCGTCCGCATCTTGTGGCATTCGAGCAAAAACGCGCCTTCTGAGGAAAAGCAATAAGGGAGAAGAAAGGGGTTCACTCCGCTATAAGAGAAAGACTTTGCTTAACTGTGATCTGAGTCCCTTTTACTTCTAGATACCCACGAAGGGGCGGAAAAAAGTTGTAAGAAACTGACACCCAAACCATAAGCAGTTCTAAATGAATCTGGGCACAGACCGACCCACTGGTTCTATAATACGTTGCCTCCGGCGCGATTTAGCTACGAATGAGCAATCATTGGCATCTTTCAATTGCAGGGCCCCGCCATAAAGAAGTCAGGCATCAATGGGTCGGGTAGAGCAGCAAACGAAAAAAAAGAATTCACTTTCCACGCGCTTTCCCTACATGAGATAGAACGTAATAACAAAAGGAATAACCCAAAGAGGCAGAAAGAAAGTCACTAGAAGCTTTATTAGCCTCTTCCTATCGCCCCTTCGCACCAAAAGCCCCTGAAAACAAAAAAAATGTCTGAGTGGTGTCATTTTACGCAGCTCATTTGGTCATCTCCCTATTTGCTTCCTGCGTGAGGTCGCCTCCCTGGAAGAACACACCACTTCCTGTATAGTACATAAATAGCCTCGCAACCTGCAAACCTTCACCCTCCTCTGGTACGCATAGGTAACCACACAGAAGCAGAAGCTATCACCCTCGATATGGCAGGCACGACATCAAATCCCCATGCAACTCACGTCATGATCATTTAAATATCATGAACCCCAGCGACATCGCGGGCACACCTTGGAGTACCTGAAGAGAGAGTCCGACATTCATAAGCGCCCACCTAGTTCCTTTATTGGGGCCTAGAGAGAGTAAAAAAGAAATTTCACAAAAAAAGTTTGGTACATACTATTATTATTATTACCATTATTTTGATATGCCAAGAGGCACAAGAGAACCACAGTGAAAGCCCAAAGAGCATTTAATTGGACTGTATTTCATCTGTCTGATGGGGATCGTAAATAAAACATTGCTAAATATTCATCCCCGCCGACGGAAGGCAAACTACAACAATAAACCGTAGGTCACTACAAACATGTGGACAGGCACGTTCGCAGCCGACCGACGTGTTCAACGTGTATATGCTAGAAACAATGGTACATGTCAAAATGGACGGCCTTGTTTCACGAAGCCTTCAAAGGGCGGCGCATCACTTGGCGTCACGGCTCTTCCATCAGCGTCCGTTATTCTTGAAGAGGGTCGCTGCCCCCTTGCATCAGCAATTCGGCCGCGACGGTACTGGGCAGATGGTCCGCGTACAAGGTCAGACAAAGGCAATGGTCGGGTCGGAATCCACAAAGCCCCAGAACCACCGTGCACCATCTCCTGTGTGGCATTATCGCGAGACTTCTTCAACAAGTCATGCTCCGCCGCCACAGTCTGTCTGTTCTTCTCAAGGGAGGCTCGAAAGCGCCGCAGGTCACGCTCATATTGTAACAAGAAGGTACCTATGGGATCCAGAGCATATCCCTTGTACTTTCCACTCTCTATCGGCGCATCATCATCATCATCATCATCATCATCTGTGTCGTTGATATAGTCGTTGACGTGCGCGCTAGGCTTCTCCTTCGCGAAGGGCTCCTCAACTGAGTGGTGCATCATGTCTTCACGGTCCTCAAACTCTTTGAGTTTGTTTAACGACGGGGTCTGATCCTGCTGCTTTGCAAGGAGCTTTCGGGAGGCGCGTTGGAGTTGACCAAGTTGAAACATGCTGTCATCAATCAGCTGGTGGCGTGTATCATCTTCCTCCTTCTCTAATTCAGCCAGTGTTTTGCCAAGGTTTTTTCGGCTGAGAGCTAAGAGGCGATTCTCTGTATCCGCAAGCTGTTGACGTTCTACTTTTTCGTCGTCGAGGACAGCATTTCTGGCAGCAAACTCCATGCGCAACGTGTTTGCCATCGCATTTTTGTATTCGTGTGCCTTCCGGTTACAGTAGCGATTCCCCAGGCGCCGCCTTACTCTATAGCCGCACGCAACACTCTTGATCAATGTAGCTGCGTCCTCTCCGCGTTGTTTGTGCAGTCTCCTCTTTTCCATATCTTCTCTCTCTTCTTGGATGCGCTTTGCCCGAACCACCGACTCGTTGCACAGCTCAGAGAAGCCCGACCTATCATTGCCCTCGCTATCCACAACAGAGCGACGTGCAGCCCCTTCAGCGGTTACCAAGGCTGTCACAGCCGCACTCAAGGCTAGTGCTGCATGCATCTGCCGCTGAAGGGCCCTCCTTTCCTCTTCTTCAACGGCCACGACACGGTCACGCCCTTTCGACTCCATGTCCCGTGCAAGCCGGCAGTCCTCTTCCATGGCCTTCCAGGCGCGCTCAATCGCGCTGCCCTCTTCCTTCCTATTGGCCTCCATGCAGTCACGGTCACGGATCTCCTCATTCATGATACGGGCCCGCTCGTCCTCTTCGGCACTCAGCACATTTCTTACTGCCTCCTCCTGCGCAGTCAAGCGATGTAAGCACTCGTCGCAGGCTGTCTTCGTGCTATCAAATGCAGCATCGGCATCATGCTCGATGAACTGTCGAAGAAGTACTTCACGCTCCACAATTTTACAGTTCGCCAGTATTGCAATTTCCCCCACCTCAGTAGCCTCAACCGTGTGTCTCTGTTGCCCTTCGTCCGTGTAAAACTGATTTAGCAGCTGCACATAGGCGATGGTTTTCGTGTTGTTTACTGCTTCAGCGACCAAGCGCTGTCTTTCCACATCTTCGTTATTTGCCACGTTCATTCTGCCCTGCGCCTCTGCCTCGTCCATATGGGTCTGTAGTTGCCTTAGCTGAGACTCAGCGGCTTGTCTGGCAACTTCTGCTTGAATGTGAGATTGGGCAAGGGTCAATTCCTGAGCCTCTGTAGTCTCCTCCTGTGCAATGTGTCGACGGTCAAAGCCTTCTTCTGCCTGGAGTTGTGCAACTTCAAGAGCACAGCGTTCTCCATATGCTGTGCGCAGTAGCTCCTCTCGATCAGCTGCTTCACCATTGACGGCATCAACAATAGCTGCCTCCATCGCCTCTTTGGCATGGAGGATAAAAGCCTCTTCGGCCAGGCGTCTCTCATCAGCAGCCATTTCACTGCCCATATTCTCCTCGCAGAGCCTGCAGTCTTTTTCGATGTCATCTCGCTCTATAGCCTCGCGTTCTTCTAACTCCGTCAACAACAGAACTGAACGGGTTATAGGCTCCTCCCGCGAGACTGTGTCTCGGTATGTCGCCTCACACTCCATCGCAGCTCCCACAACCGATTCGTGGCGCTCTGTTGCCTCTTGTGAGGCCAAAACCCCCCTTTCCCTGGCCTCGTCATCATCTACCACGACAAGCGAAGCCAAGGCATGTGCCGGCAAGGCTTCTCCAGCAGTCACCACATCCTCTTCCGCATGGGAGTCATCTGTCTCTCGCTGAGGATCCTCTTCCCCCTCTCCAGTAGTATGTCCAGCAAGAGCATCCATTAAATCCCGATCCACATGAGTAGGAAATCTCGTCCTTCGCCGCCGCACGACATGACGCTTAACACGCACATTGAAGGAAATTACCTCAGACTCCTGATAAGACTCAATATTGCTCTCCTCCAAGGACAACGACAGCAACGAAGCCCGCCGAATTGTACCAGCATCCAGCATTGCAATAGACTTCGCGTGTGCTGCAGCATCATCAAGCAAACTTGCACGTCTAGTTGTTAATTTCACAAACTCAGAATCAGCCGTAATGGTTGCAGGAACATCAGGACACATAGGAAACTTTATCCGCAGCTTCTCTTGCTCCGCGGCCTCAGCCCCCTCAGCAGTCCGCAGTGCCTGTGCAAGGGCTTCGCATCGGTCATTCATTGCATCCTCCAGCTCACGGAGCTCCTTCGCGTTCTTCTGTGGGTCTCGGCGCAGTTCGTCGTAGCGGTCGCGCAGCTTCCGGAACTCCTCGTCTTGCAGCAGCTCATTAATCCAGCCAGGGACATTGTGGAACACAAGGAATGGGTATTCCTTCAGCAGAGAATCCTTCTCGCACTGGCCAAGCGCCAGCTCATCTGCCCGGGCACACAGCGACACCTCCAGCTTCGCGATACGCGGTGCATTTGCCTCCACGTCCTCCAGCGCTTCGAGGCGGTCGCGGAACAGCTGCTGGTACGCGTGGTCACCCGAGAGTGGTATCTCGCTCAGGAGTATGCACTTGCGGTCTTCGTACAGAAGGAATGGGTTACGCGCGCGCACGTACTCATTCCCGTCGCCACGGAACGTATCCACAAGTTTCGCCTCGCGAGCCAGCGCCTCCGCGCGCTGCGCCATCTCAGCCTCCGTCGCACGGGCGTCCTTCGCAGTCCTCGGGTTCTTCATCTGGCGCTCGCGACGGCGTGCCAGCTGCGAGAACAGGTTGTCCTCCTCTAGCGGGAGGTCGCCGAGACGAACGCCAAGCACACGCCTTGGCAGAAAGGGGTACTGTTCGTGTGCCGCCTCGGTCGCCGCCGCCTTCTCTTCGGCAAGTCGCACCACCAGTGCGGACAGCTTCTCCTCCGTCGCGCGGATGGCAGCGGCGTTGCGCAGCGGGTCCCGGCGCAGCACGTCAAGCTCGTTGGAGAGCGCGCGGAACTCCGGCCGCTGCACCGGCCGCACGTCGCCGAGGAGAATGCCACGTGCCGGCTCCTCCGGGAGAAACGGGTATCGCTCATGCAGATCCTCATTCCGAACGCCGTCACGCCGTCTGGCAGTCCGCACCTCACGCGCTATGCGCCCAGCCTGGTCGCGCAGCTCCTGCTCTAGACGCGACCGCTCCGCTGCGTCGCCGCTCGACACCACCTCCGCATACCGTGAGGCCAACTCCGCAAAGTTCGGATCCGTCAGGAGGCCCAACTCGCGTAGCGGGATCCCTTTCACAGAGCGCCCAAGGAATGGCAGGGTGGCCATGAGCGCCTTCTCCTCTACGCGCAGCGCCAGCGCTATTTCCTGCGCACGCTCTCTCATAGCCTTTTCGACCTGGGTTGGGCTCCCTGCCTGCTGAGAATCACGCGTTTCTCTGTCCTGCTCCAATCTCTGCATTTCATCATCCTCTTCAAGGTTAAGAGCTGTAGTAGGAATCCCATGATACTGATCTTTGAGGAACGGGTATCGTTCTGCTGTTCGCGCTGTCTGTTTTTTGATTTGCGCGTTCTGCCGGTCGGCATCGTGTTGTAATTGGCTCTTTCGCCCCTCAATCTGTGCGTGAAGGCGCCCCAGAAGTGGCGCATCTGCCGGGTCCTGTTTTGCTTCAATCTCGCTGACCTGAGCAGTTAGCTGCTGGTAGTACTCGTCGTCAAGAATATCTTCCTCGATGCTGACAACGGCTGCCTCTACATGCGGCATTGATTTTGGGCTGCGGGACCGCTCAAGGGCGTTTTGGTCTGACTTAAGTTGCGTCTTATACTCCCCTGCTTGCCGCGCAATTTCCTCCTCGAGTTTATGCAGCTCACCCGCATTTCCTTCCACGTCGTCCATGAGCTCCTCGTGATCGCCCACCAGCTTCGCAATGGCGGGGTGCTCAAGGATGCCGGGGTGGATGTCGCGGCCAAGCATAGGGTACGTTTTCCGAAGCGCATCCACCTCACGCACCTTAGCAGCACGATCCTCCCGCACATCCTTGAGACTTCGTTTTGCATCCTCCAACATGATCGGTGAAACGTTGCTGGCAACGTCGTCACCGTAGTTCTGAAACTCTCGCCGATCCTGTAGGTGGCAAAGATCCTCCAACGATAGTGGCTGCAGGGCAACAAAAGTCTGCTTTATTCGCTCGATCTTCTCAATCTCCCTCAATGCAAGCTCATCAGCACGGCACGCCAAAAGGTATCGGAGGGTAGATGCAGCGTCCTCTTCAAAAGAAGAGAGTTTCATAAGTTCGTCATACTCATCAAGGCGCTCATTAAATAGCGCGTCGTCTTGCAAAGGAAGATGTCGTAACGGGAAGCATTTGCGCGACGTATACACCAGGTATGGGTGCTCAGCGAGTACGGTATCGTCATTGTCTGCCAGCTGCGCATCGTTCAGGTTGTGGGACACGGCCAACTGAACCGCTCTCGCAATGAGATGTGACTCCTTGCCCTTCCCATCTTCACTAGCAGCAGTCATAAAGAGCTCATCCTCTTTTAGCGGGAGGTCGCCGAGACGAACGCCAAGCACACGCCTTGGCAGAAAGGGGTACTGTTCGTGTGCCGCCTCGGTCGCCGCCGCCTTCTCTTCGGCAAGTCGCACCACCAGTGCGGACAGCTTCTCCTCCGTCGCGCGGATGGCAGCGGCGTTGCGCAGCGGGTCCCGGCGCAGCACGTCAAGCTCGTTGGAGAGCGCGCGGAACTCCGGTTGCTCTACCGGCCGCACGTCGCCGAGGAGAATGTCACGTGCCGGCTCCTCCGGGAGAAACGGGTATCGCTCATGCAGATCCTCGCTCTCTATCGAGTTGCGCCAGTTGCGGACACTGATTTCACGAGCTGTTGCGATTGCGACGTTCTCCATTTCCCTTGCCAGTCGCCGGCACCGTACCCCAGTGTCGCCACTGCCAGAAGCCCGGAGTCGGGCGTAGTACGCCGCCTTCTGTGCGAAGATTTCATTATCCTCCAAACGGATAGTGCACGTCTCAACCCCCTCTAGTCGGGTGGGGAGGAACGGGTAATGCTTCTTGTACAGTTCCGCCTGCCTGAGGCGGTGAGCGGCGATCTTTCCCACCCGCTTGCCGGCACGCCGGCTGAGGCGGTCAATTTCCCCTGGTTTCGCATCCTGTGAAGCGAGAAGCCGCTGCCGTTGCACAACAATAGACACGAACTCCTCGTCCACCTCGATATCAAGTGCATCCAATGTGTAGCCCTGGTGACGACGTGGAAGGAAAGGGTACTTTGCCTCAAGGTGCAGTCGCCGCCGGTAACCATTGGCGCTCACCTTGCGCATCCACGAGTTCATCTGGATGATTCGCTGCTCCATCCGACGTGTCAGCAGCAACATAAGCGGGGATTCTTCGTCGTGGTCCGCCTTTAAGATATTTCTGCGCTGCCACAGGCCCACGTAGTAATCGTCGCGCACCTTTGGGAGATCCTCGAGGCAAATGGCTCCTGTGATAACGCTTTCGATGTCGTAATACCACTTCTTCAGCTCCTTCGCATCCCGTCGGCGCGCCGCAAGAGAATTAACCGCCGCCACCATCTCCGATTGCATGCGACTATCAGCGTCTCGCACGCGCAGCTGCGCAACCAAGCTAGACACAGTCGGGTCCTCGAACACCATGAGCATTGAGAGACGCTGATGGTGCGGCATCTCTGGAAGAAATGGAAACTCTTGGTGGAGCTCCTCGTCATCAACAGCAAGGCACAAGCGAGACATGTAGGCACGCTCCCACAAAGCTGTGAGTTTGTCACGCAGGAGGTCGTCCATTTGTTCCATAGTCATATCACTACCAGGGTCAGCCAGTCGACGTACGCGAAGCAGGTCGTGCAAGTGCATGTCCTCAACGAGGTCCTTTGCGGAGACGAGGTAGAGTTTGGAAGGCAACAGCCACTGTGAGAGTTCCCCTCTCCATTCTTGCGTCTCATCTTCAATCTCCTCCACACAGCGCGCAATTTGCTGTTGGGTATCCAGAATCTGTGCTTCATTGGCCTGCGAGTTTATGTATTTCTGCAGCTGATCACACAAGGCGTTGAACCGATCGTCCTCGAGGACGTACAGCCATGGAATAGGGAGCATCAGGTTCACGTACTCCCCGTGTGTGTCGTTGAACTCCTGCTCATGGCGATCCATGTACGCCCGCTGTAACGCCACATCCTCTGCTTTTTTGGCGACATACCCGCGAATGTTATGCTCTAATGCTCTTGACTCTGCGCTGTCTGTGCTGCACTGTAGTTTACTTACAAGATCTGTGAAAATGATGTCGTCATCAAGCCCCAGACTCGCGGTAGGTATTTTGTGATTCATGGCCGGCAAGAATGGATGCCGCTTCAATACATCACCATCCTGAATGAAACGGTGTAACTCCCACAACCTCTCCTTCATCATCTGCTCCACCCGTTTTGCGTCCGCCGTGTTGTCTGGCATCCGTGCCCGCTGGTGTGCCAGGCCAACAAAGACCTCATCCTCAAGCGGTCTCACGTCACTGAAGGGAAAGTCCCCTGAACGGCTTGCGAGAAATGGATAGCGACGCAAGAACCCTCGTCGTAAAATCGGCCGTGCTGTAAGACGTTGCTCAAGGAAAACAAGGTTTTCAAGGTATGCCTTGTAGTCCGGGTCATCATGTGGCACACCAGCCTCAGTGAAGGCGTAGCCCGCCTTCTTCAATGACTCTGCTGCCTCCTTCAAACGATTGAGCTCAATTTCAATCGCACCCTTGTTATTTACCACGACACCGAATTCCCTACTACGCACCCCAAAGAGCTCACCAGCCTTTTCAGCTGCCTCACGCATTAGCGTCATACAGTGTTCAGAAAACTTGTCCTGGTCCCATGAGCGGTATATGTGTGCGGCATCCATCAAAAGTGTGGGCAGGTCAAATGAAACAGTAGGCTTTCTCTTACTCACTGTGATGGCTGTTAGTAGAACACGCATCGCATCTTCGTAACGACCTTCCGCCTCGAGTTGCAAGCTCAAATCCCACAAATACAGCATGAAGAAATCAGATGCCCAGCCAATACTACCTAACTCGATGGAGCGCTCCACGAGCTCTCTGGTGTTCACAGAGCACGACGGCAGCAATCGTTTACATTGCAAAAGCCCCTTGTATGGTTGAAGGTGCAGCCATGAGCCATGTTCACTCTTGAGATAAGATGGAAGCTTTTCAATGGCACTGTAGAAGTGTTCCACAGCCTCTTCTACACAACTGCGGTATGTAACAAGGTCGTCAGGCTGATACACCAGTGCAACGCGCAGGAGCCAGAAGCCGTACTCAATGTGGCGGCGGCCCTGCGTCATTGGGCAAGTCAGTTCCTCGAACCCACGCATCACACCAGGGAACAAGCTTCTTCCCTCGGCAATACATTCCTTCTGCATGGTCGCAAAGCAGACCTCGCACACACTCCGTCGTGAGTAGAGAGGAACTATAGCCTCTTCACCACATTGCTCGCGATGCGCCATAGCAGTCTCATGGACGAGGTCAAGCGCCTCCTCGTAGCGCCCCTCCCAGCACGCAACCTTCCAGCGCACTGGCAGACAGAAGGCGTATCGATGGCTGTCCTGTGTGATGATGGTGCGGTACTTTCCAGCCAGATTGCGTACATGTCCGGGGTTTATTAATGATGGAAGGACGCGTGCATTCACATTTACATGCCACTTCATCCTTGAAAGGTGGCCGGTCGTCTTTTCAATGGTTACACCAAGCAATGCACAGATACGCGCCACAATTTCTGCCTTACGCTTTGCTCGCACCACTGTAAGTCCATGTATAATATCATCATCTTCGTCAATGACTCCATACTTTTTGGCTACAACCTCTAAGAATCGACTCTGGAACACGTCCACATTCGCAAATGCTTCACCCATATGTTTAGAGAGCGTCGCACTCAAAACTTCATCATCGTACGCGACGCGTTTCCCCTGAACCTCCAAATAAAACTCTTGTTTTACCGACCGAGAAAGCATTTCTACAAACAGCAACTCCCTCACCTGAGAAACTGTTGCCTTATCGTATCGGCCTGCCCTAGTGATCTTCTGAACCACTTGTTTCAACAAACACATGTTCACACCGAACGCATGCAAGTGTTCACAGACACTCCTGAGGCAATCGCCTACTGTGCGGGACTCGCTGTCCATACAAGCCTGCACAACGGCGTCCAGAACCTCAGAATTGTCTAGCAATGCCATGGTATCGTCGTGTCCATCCGTCACATTACTACATGAACGAAGCATCTCTTGACGTTTCATGATGGTATCGTCAAAAAAAAGCGGTGTCAACGTTGAGTTTGAGTTTGTCAAGTAGTACCGGCCATCCAGTCCTTCATAAACTTCGAGAGTACCGTCCGGAAAGGGAATATTCAGCGCCTTGGCCATCTGAACAATTTCCGCCTCCACTTCCTTATCGTTTGTAGAATCCGCGCCGTAAAGCCGGGTGGGTTGCCGTGGCATCGGGACGAGGGCCTGCGCCAGCACCGGCATTCCCCGGTAGAATAGCATACATGAGAGCGGCACAGTCATCAGACGGGTTCGACTCTGCAGTACACCGCGGAGCGACGCCACATAGTTACGCCCAGAACGACTGTCCGGTAAAACACGGAAGAAGATGTTGTCGACGCGATAGCACTGCAGGAACTTGGGCAGCTCCCGTGGCCCGTCGTCATCAAGCGTGACGATCTGCCTTACAGTGTACACGGCCTCCGCCACAAATTCCTCCTCGACGCGGCGAAGAGCCTCCATGCGGCTCTCGGCCTGTGAAATGGTGTTGTCCTCCATCTCCCACGCCAACTGGAACTCCGCGTTCCAGTCCCTTCCGTGCCGCGTGATGTCTGCGCAGCATGCAAGAAACGGCTTCGGTGCCGTCTGCTGCATGGGAAATGCTGCTGACTTCCTAATGGAAAGTCGGTGCCGAGACGCCTCGACCATCGAGATGTGTCGCAAAACCGACATCCTCTGAGAGTTGGTGCTCGTTGTTGGTGAGCGTGACGAGCGTGAGGTTCCCGAAACAAGAGCTAAGCCGTCGGATTCAGGCGTGAACACGACGTTCTGACGCTTTTCCCGCTTGGGCGTTTCATCAGTCACCGTACGACGCATTTCGCCGTATTCACACAACGCGCTCTCTCTTTTGCTCCTGTTGTCAACGGCAATCGCCACTGATCGATGAAACGTATATCTCAACCTTCGAATTCAAAGCGATTCAGAAAAAAAAAGAGTCAGGAACAAAAAAAAAAAAAANGATTTGGTACCACATTCAGAGTCGTGCGGCTCCTGCATCCGCGTCCACTGAAGGAGCACGCCTCACCACAGAGGTAGTTTTCACCACATCTTGGAAGCAGTCGTATTCATACTCTTTTTGGCGACTCGTACGCCACAAAGCCCTACTCTCTTTCCCTCTTGTTTATTTCGGCTTGTCAGGGGGTCGAGAGTTATTTTCCTCTCCTTCCTCCGCCGGACTTACACACACATAGAAGCAAAAACAGAAAAAAATACACTCGACAAGACGCGTGGTGAGAAGCCTGTGTCATCCCCACGAAAAAATGGGGAAAAAATAGGAATCTGACTGAAAAGCATGAAGCACAGAAGAGTTTTTTTTCTTTTAACAAAAAAAAAAAACGATGAGAATGGGGACTTCAGATGAAGAGGGCAAAACGATATAAACTCTTCTACTATGCTGAGCTGTCCCCCATCGAGTCGCTCGGCCGAGAAACGTTGGCACTGGGCGATCTCGGCATGGCGGTCAGCAGCGCATCGCAGTATGCAGCGTACTTGGCTGGGTCCCACGCTCGGTATACGTTGATGAGGTCTTGCGTTAGCGCAATGATGTCTAAGTCAGAGCGCGGGACCTTTCTGCACATGCGTAGGGCCCTCTGGAGCGTCCTAGCCGCCGCATCGTACCTCTTGTCTAACCGCAGTTCCATTCCAAGCTCCCACAGGTACTCCACAAAGTAGACGGCGGGGGTCACCAGGGTCGCCAACTTCTTGGTGTCAGCCACTATCGCTGAGATGTCAACATGCACTTGCGGTCGCATCGCCTGCTTGCAGCGCAGTACACCCAAGAAGGGCCGAATGTACAGCCATGCCCCAGCATCACTGCGCAGATATGCAGGAACCAGCTGCGCAGCTGATTCGAAGTGCCTCAACGCTTTTTCCTTTAAATCTATAATGGCGGAGGCGCCCAAAAGCCAGCACCCAGACTCGACGTAGCGTCGCAACATGGTAAGCGGTCCTGCCTTCGTGCGAAATCCATGCAACATATTCCCAAGGTGTTTACGCCCCTCCGTGAGAAGTTCAACCGAATTGCTACTAAAAAGCAGCTCGCACAGATTGCGAAGAGCGTAAAGATGTGGAAGGCTTGATTGACCATGTCGCGCTTTCACTTCTTTGGCTACCAAACGTGCATACTGAAGAGCATTCCCAAATTTATTCTCCCAGGATGCCACTTTTGACTGCAGCGGCAGGCAAAATGCATACATGTGACCGTCTGTTGTTTTTGTCACATTGTACTGCGCTGCGAGAACCGCGGCCGTGCTGGGATCCGACAGCAGTGGCACAACACTCGAATGGGACCTCGGCAGCCACGCGATTCTATTCCCTGACGCTGCATCTGGTTCATGCGATCGAGCCCCAACAAGGATGGAAAGGCGCGCAATGATATCATGCCTTTTAGAGAGGCGTGTATTATTGCAGAGGTCAATGATGTTGTTTTCTTTAGAAGATACATTGTACTTACGCTTCAGGACAGGAACAAAACACTGTTTGAACTGTCTCTCATCCAAGCAACGCGCGATATGTCGCGCAATATCATTCTGCAGGGTCGCATCATCGTATGCTGTTCTGTTAGCTTGCACTCGCAGGTAAAACTCCTGCTTGATAGCCCGCGCCATCATCTCCACGGCGACGCACGTCTCTAGTGCCCTCACTGTCCCGGTGTCATTCGCACGGAGTGCAACAAACGTACTCAACACATCCTTAAGGAAGCAAAAGTTTACGCCATAGAAATGCAACGTGTCACACAGCTGCGCTTGAGCATGTTCCTGGCTGAGATCTTTCAGCTGGGTCAATGCATCCAATACGGGCGGGGCACGCAGCACCGCGAGCACATCCTCTGGTCCACTTGTCACGGCGGCGCAGAACACGAGCATCTCTTGGCGCTTTAAAGCAGAACCGGTGGGGAGGCTCTGGCTAATGGGAATGGTGGTTATGTTTGTCGACGTGCAGTACCACCGGCCATCAAGACCCTGGTAAACATTACAAATAATATCGTCCGGTAGTGGGATGTTAAGTGCCTCAGATATCTGAACAATTTCCGCCTCCACTTCCTTATCGTTTGTAGAATCCGCGCCGTAAAGCCGGGTGGGTTGCCGTGGCATCGGGACGAGGGCCTGCGCCAGCACCGGCATTCCCCGGTAGAATAGCATACATGAGAGCGGCACAGTCATCAGACGGGTTCGACTCTGCAGTACACCGCGGAGCGACGCCACATAGTTACGCCCAGAACGACTGTCCGGTAAAACACGGAAGAAGATGTTGTCGACGCGATAGCACTGCAGGAACTTGGGCAGCTCCCGTGGCCCGTCGTCATCAAGCGTGACGATCTGCCTTACAGTGTACACGGCCTCCGCCACAAATTCCTCCTCGACGCGGCGAAGAGCCTCCATGCGGCTCTCGGCCTGTGAAATGGTGTTGTCCTCCATCTCCCACGCCAACTGGAACTCCGCGTTCCAGTTGCGATACGATGAAGAGAACTCAGCACATACAGACACAAATGCGCGGTCCATAACGCTTCTCACTAACAACAACAAAACAGGTTGAAAAGGCACGCACACATGATGAACACTCCAGCATTCCATCCATAGGTCTGGGGAATTTAAGAGGAAAACATCATATCCGTAAGAAGTCAAACGGCAAAAGACAAAAGAGAACAGAAAGGCGCAGAAAAGACATGAAAACGCTAATCGTCTAACTAAGAACGTAAACTTCCACACCTGCTCGTCTCCGACGAGTCGTCTTCGGAGTCCACCAGCGGACCAAAGAAGAAGTCATGCGACGCGACAGCCTCCTTGCTGAGGATGCCATCTCGACGTACCTGCTCCTCAATAAGGAGGTCCTCCAGCTGCCGTTGGGGGTTCTTTCGGCGCTTCTGTCGCTGTTTGGAATGTCGACTCGGCTTAAGCATACGACTGATATTAATCCCCAGCGCACGCTTCTGTTGACGATTCACAGAGCGAAGGTGCTTTCTCCATACCGTTTCTTCGCTGGACACGAGATATAATAGCAGCTTTGAGTGCGCCCGCAACATATCGCTTCGCACCAGTGTCTGTACACTATCAATGCGGCATAGCCTGAACCCAATGCGCATTGCGTGGTTCTCGCGGATAATGGCGCGACGACCCGAGCGGTACAGTCCCCATATTCCCTCCGTGAAGAGTGTTGCGTGAACACCTTGCTCCAAGAATAACAATGCTTTGCGAATACCTTCCTCGAGTCTTACCAATGCTGCAAGGGAAGTCATCAACTTCTCTTCATGAATATGCATACGTGCGGAATATGTTTCCCTGAGAATTGTCGACACTTTTGCTGCACCGAGCCTCCGCCGTTGCTTGTACTGCAGCACGTAGAATGCCTCGTTCTCTTCATCGGCAATAAAAACACGCGTGGTCGACTCCGCGACAGCAAGACGCCTCAGACGCCACAGCAGCTGCTCCCGCAGCAGGCTGATGTAGCGCTCCGGATCCTCTTCTTCGAGGCGCCCAGTGACGGCGCGCCTCTCCAGCCACCGCCGCACCGCGCGTTGAATCCGCAGCGCGGCGCCACGCCGCAGCCGACTCTCAAGAACATTCATATTTTTTCGCCAGCTGATCATCTCCTGGTGCTCCGGGTTCAGATGGCTGCGAAGAAGACGCTGGGCATTCAGCAGCGTCTTCTTAGCGGCTGGCAGTTTCTTGAGTTGCGTGAGCAGTGAGCCGTAGTTGTTTAGCATGATGCCGAGAATTAGGGAGTCGGGCTGCACCGCCTCCACGATGCGGATGGCAGCCGTCAGCAGTGAGGCGCTCACCTCGCAGCTCTCCCGCTCGCCGCGCTTGAAAAGCAGCTGACTATGCTCGAGAAGAGCCTTGGCGTAGCGCAGGCTCGACGCCTTGTCAAGTTCCTTCGCCTTGCGCTCTCGCACAACTGCAAACTCCTCTGCTAATTTCAGCTCTCCAGACTCGAGGCAATATTGTGTCATCACCGCACATGTTTCAAAAAGCAGCTCCATCGGCTCACTATGCGTCGCCGCATGGAGAGTAAACGTGATCACACCTCGATTAATTGGTCTGCCTGCGTTGCGGCACGCCCTGCCAAGCCACAGCGCATTTTCGAGAAACGGGTGCGCAGCGTAATATGCGTGGTAGCGGCCTGCCTTTAACGCACGGTGTTGCTCCATTAGCGGCTTAATCGCCAAGGCGTACTCCCCCATGCGTATAAGGAAACGGCCTTGCTGGTAATACAACCAGCCTGCAAGGGGCAGCAATCCTATCCTCTCAAACACCTCAGCAGAAACCTGAAACCGTTTAAACGCTGCCCCCTTCACATCCCCAGCAGCACCACAGCAATACGCCAGAAAGCCCTGTGCAAGAAACTTATTGACGTCACTCTTCCACTTGCGGGAAAGTAAAAACTGCTCAATTAGGGTTACAGCCTGGGCCTGCTGATTCACGGCGAATAGCTGGATAGCCTGCTGATACGGTGATGTGTTCATCATCTTCATAAACTCGTCGAGGCGATCTTCCATGTGTGCAATGAAACCGATGCAGTTGGTCAAGTACCACAAGCCATCCATTGCCCCGACAATCTCTATCCCACGTGTGTGATTTGGGACCTCATCGGAGCTGTGGCCATAAATCAACCAGAAGGCCTCGTCAACGACGGCCCATACGGCGTTCTTTGGGGACTTCTGGTCAGCCTTCACGGAACCGCCAAGGATGACTTGCGGCCGGCGGTGGATAGGGATGAGGGCCTGCGCAAGGTATGCCTCACCCGCCACTTCCACATAATCAGTGAGGCCCGCTGTGAAGAAGGCCGTTGGCGAACGCCGCAGCAGGGCGGAGATGGTGTTCTGCATCCTCGGTAGCACATCGTCTGTTGCCACACGCGTGATGACAATGTTATCCATCACGAAAGATGTGGTGCAATCGCGTACCGGTGTCAATATATGGGGCGATTCCCTCAGCGCATCGATGCATTCAAGTACCTTCGTGTGGAATTCCCGCTCCAGGGTATCATAGTGCTCATTGCGTGCAGTGACGGCAGCTGTGTCCCACATCTGGTCGCTCAGGTGGTAATGCTGTGCCTCACCATTCCAGTTACGCAGTTTCCTCGAGAGCCGCTCCGAGGCCCGAAGCAGCGGCTTCGAGAAGTTTCGAATCACGAAGTCGCGGTCACGCTGGTGAAAATCTTCGAGTTGAACCTCACTGCGCGAGTACAGCAGCATTAGTCGGCGGCGCACCATGCCGCGCCCTACGCGCTGTAGAAGACTTGCGTTTACCTCAAAGACGGCTTGAAGCTCAAGTCTGCGCTTATATTCCCGCCAGTGGCGCTGAATGATAACTGTTGCGGTGGGAGCAAAGAGCGTCTTGAATCGTTCTAGTGTCTCGTAGAGGCGAACCGTTACTGGGTGGTCACGTGGTATGCGGGCCGTCTTCCGTGATGTTGACTGCAGAGCGGCTGTCAGCCGTCTTGATGCTGCAACAAAACTGCCGCGCATCATCAACGTCATGACGATGTTCTCCACAACGCATAGGTGCGAGACAGTGAATTCCCCCTTGGTCTCAATCATGATGGTCTCGGCGAACTGCAGCAGACAGTTGCACAGCAGTCCAAACCGCTTTACATCCCACGTGTAGTACACAAACGCGAGCTTGTTAAGTAGCACACCTACAATGTAGGAGTGATCACCGAGAAGGAGCACCACAATTTCCAACGCGTCTCGAAGTCGCTCTGCAGCCGCCTCGTACATGTTATTCTCGAAAAGAAGCATCGCCAGTTGCTCGCACACGTTCGCCGCGTAGACAGAAGGTAAAAGCCGCTGCCGCAGTTGGCTCCATGTGGTGAGGAGCTCCTCAATCGTTACGGCTGACGAACGTGCAGCCGTTTCGATCAACCCACTGAACGGCAGCAGCGCCGCGTATGTGGCGTGCTCCGCGGTGGTAGGGTTAACTGTACGCAGGAGTCCAAGGGCACTAAGGAAGCTGTCACGCGCCCCCTCACAGTCTTCGTAGAGACACCGCAGAAAACCACTCGCGGCCGCAGCACTGATGCGACCCCACAAGAAGTAAATATTCTGTGGAGGAGCGACCGCGACACCGCTGTTTGCCATGCCGCGCTCGACTGCAGGTGTGATGCTCATTCCGCTTTGCGCACGATCAAGCATCGTCAACCCCCCCTCGTAGTTCCCAGACTGCGCAGCGGCAAGAGCGGCATTCACCAGCGCCTCAAAGTAAAGAAAACTCTGCTTCGTTCGTGCACGAACAGCAACTATACGTCGCGAAAGGCGCATAGCCTCTTCAGTGCGCCCTGCTCGCATGTGTTGATTGATGCAATACGGCAGGATCAAAGATGTGAGCTGGCCCAGAGTGGCATCCTTCTCTCTTCTCGGGTCCAGCATGAATGCCGCAACGGCTGACTCATGATTCTCATCCAAATAGCTACTGAAGTTGTGCGCGGAGCGGACACAGTCAAACTGCTCTACAACACCGCGATTGAGAACAAAGCAGCAGAGCACGCAGAGACGCTTCGTTATCTGCAGAGCATTCTCACGGAGAGTTGTTTGCAGGAAACTCTGCATGGCGGCATCATCGCCATCGGTGGGAAACACCTTGCGCAGTGTTGGGGTCAGACCGTAGAGAAAACGGCTGGGATCTGGGTCCATCAGTGCGCCCACCGTCCGCGCCAAATAACTGTTCGCCGTCTTGAAATTACGCGGAGCACGATCAATGTTTGCTTGGTGGTACATCACACGCCGGGCAGCGCGTGCAATCATCTCAGTACCGATAAGCCGCATCAGATTTTCCCTGCTCTCGTCGCCATCATCCGGCTGCGAAAGAAGGTGCCGTAGCACCACGCCGAGAAGGCAGACGTTGAGGCCGTTGTCGTGCATGATCCGCACCATCGCCTTTGCACGACGTGCGCTAACCTCCTGTAAAGCATCCAGCAGCAGGAAGTGAACCGTTGCGGCCGCCCGCTCGTACACCTGCGTGGGCGGCTGCATAAAGTGCGCCGGTGGGCCGCGCACGACATGCCACCAGCGGCGCAGCGGCCCCGACACACCAAGTGACGACACACTCACCGGTGGAAGTAGCCCAGTAGGGTTGAGGATGTACAGCCGCAGGTCAGAGCCCTCGTAGACCTCCACCCCCACGTGTTTCAACTGCGCGCCCACCCCGTGTGGGACAATATTAAGCGCCTCAAAGAGAAACGACAAGTAGTCATGCAGCGGGCGGTGGAGCAGCGGGTCTGCGGTGCCATCGCCTCGGTACAGCGGCGCCCGCCCCCGCTCGATGGGAACGACGGCCTGTACCGTAATGCTGGCGTTGTAGCAGCGGAACGCCGCGCACAGCGGGAACGCGATGAATGGCGCCCTGCAGTCTATCAGCGCGCGAAAGCACCGCTGCATGTTGAGGCCAAGCTTGTCATCGCGCCACACGCGCAACATGATATTGCCGACACGAAAACAATCAGGAAACTGCATGGCGCGCGGTGCCCAGGTGCTGCTATTTCTCCCTTCCCTCCAAAGGCTCTCCACGAGTGCGAAGCAATACGACTCGTACTCCTGCAGGAACTCCTCGAGAGCCTCGCGGGTGTCGGTGACCCACGCCGACTGGCACTCGTCGACCCACAACTTCTGAAACTCCTCGTTCCAATTCCGTGCTTGGCGGTCGAGGAGCTCGCAGGCGGCGCGGAACGGCACATGCGCGATGAGGTAAGACCGCGGCAGCCGTGGGGCGGCCACGTCCGGCTGTGCCAACTGCACGCTGCCAGGGCGCTCCTCTAGCGAGACGCTGTCGTTGGCAGCACGCACCTCGCCACCACCGTCATGCATCCAGTGTCGGCTACACACTCACCCGTGCACCTCGTGCCCAGGGAAAGGGAAAGACATCAAGCGTATCACACAAGAAAAAGAAAAAAAAAAGAACACAACACAGTAGAAGCAGTGATCAAAGAAGCGTCGCGTGTGTAAGGGTGGAAGAGACGACACGTTGCACCTCACAGCGGTGGGGTGACCAGTGCCCATCCTCGCTCTTCGCGCCGGTCTTTCACAGACAAATCTGCGTCAAATCATCGTACTCATCATCGCCGCCGCGGGGGCGCTTCCGCTGCTCTGGCGCCTTCGCCGCGCCCTTCAGCAGTTCCGCCCGCACGTCACTGCGCTGCATGAGACTCTGGAGCTGCTCCTCCTCACTCACGCCCATTTTCACGTGCGACACGGCGCGCTCGAGCGCACTCGGCACGTCCTTCTGCGCCTTCTGCTTGCGGAACTCCTTTCGCCCGCCACGCTTCTTTTTTGCCTCCTCTCCCCGCACAAAGACATGCGGGACAGGAAGTGCCTGTGTGTCTGCCGCATTGACCTTTCCCTCCGCCAGAAGCAGCTCAAAACTGCGCCGCAACTTTTCTAGCTCTGCTTCACCAAGCGCCCCTGTTATGGCGCCGCTGGCAAGGTCCGCCTTTGCGGCGATACAGCACTTGCGCGCGAGAACAGCGAGTGCCTTCTGCGCGGCCTGCAGGTCGTCGGCCCGCACCTCGTCGGTGCCAAAGAACTCCGTAAATATAGGCGCCTCAGCGAGGTGGCCGGCGTGCAGGTGCTTCGCCCGCTTGAACTGTACCGACTCGTCCAGCCCGAGGTGACGCAGCGCGGCGTCGGAGAGGCGCGCGAGTGCCACAAGCCCACCAGCATTCGCCACGAGTTTGTCAGCGACGTCACGCCCAACCAAAGCGCACAAATTTGGGAGAGCAGCCGCGCCGCTCCTCGCCATTTATTCTACCTACAGCCTCTCGCAGCCGCAGAGAGACAGAAACAAAGAGGAAGTGGCAGCGACACAGCAGCAGCAGTAGTAGTAGTAGTAGAAGTAGCAGGAAACGAGGCGCACCCCCCCCCTCCTCCCCTTACAGACCACACAGTGCTGACTAATCGTAACTTTTTTTTTAACGCAGTGTCTCCTTTTTTGTTTTTTTCCGCCCCCACTCTTCCCCCCTCTCCACCTCCGCCTCAGCACCACTCCCTCACGCCAGAATAGATGCGCGCCGCCGTTTTTTCCCACTCCGCCGCTTCATTTCTTCCTTGAGGCGGCGCACAAGCTCATCACACTCCGCCTGCAGCTGCCGGCCCCGCTCCTCCTGCAGCGCCAGCCGCTGGTCCAGTGTCCCTGCCGCGCCAGTGGCGTGCGCTGCTGGTGCAACAACACGGAGGGCTGGACGCCGCACTACCCGCACACGAGGTCGTCGCCAGGTGTCCCACCCGTCATAGGCCCGCAGCACCGGCGGCGCCCCGTCCCCCTCTTCCACAACGAGGCGGTTGAAAGGAAGATGCAACTGAGGTCCACACACTTCCTCCTCTTTCTCCTTTATTCCTTTGAACTGCTGATTTCGCTGCTTCTTCTGTTGTTGCTGGCGGAAATGCTGCTTATCTTTACACACGCGCTGGAAGTCGCGCGACAGCCAGAAATCCGCAGCGCCGTGCAGCCACGTGGCGCTTGCGCCGCCCGCAGTGCCGTTGCCGCGGTGTTCAAAAAACGCCGTCACTTTCTCTGGTGTTACGGCAAGCCTCGCGATGAATAGATCGGCGGGGGCCTCCGCAACGAATCCACCATCGTTGCTGTTGTCGTCATCGTTGCACGCCCACGAGTAGAGCTGAAGCCACGCCGGCGGATTGCGCCGCACCAAGGGTTCCACCGGGCGGTCGTTATCGTACAGGTCCACACGGGCAAGCTGCGTGCCGCCGACGTAGCACGCGGTCTCGTCCGGCGAGAGGGCGAGGCAGCGCACGGAGAAGCCTACGCTCACGTCGCAGAGAGGTGTGCGCGCCAGTGCGTCGAAGACAATGAGCCGGCCGCCTAAGCCGCACGTCGTCAGCCAGGTTCCCGTGGAGAAGAACGTCATCGCCGTCACCGGAAGTGTGTGGCCCCGCAGGCGGCTCACGCGCTCCGTGCTGTTGCTCAGCAAGTTCGCAAGAGGCTGCACAACCGGTTCCGCGTCGTGGCCGGCGGAGGCGACAAGGTGCGCAGTGGAGGCGCATAAACAATGCACCGGGCCGTAGTGAACGGTCTGCGCGTACACGCAAATACCTGCAGCGCCCGCCGGACCAGAAGCACAAGTAGCGGTACTGTCGACGTCAACGCCTGGCTGCGCAAAGCCCAGCACGCACCCGGCATCGGTGCCCACCACAACCATGCCGCCAACGACCAGTAAGGAAGTAGCGCGGAGACCCTCACCGAAGCTGCGGCCCAACAGCGACGCCACGTCGAGCGTAGGCATTTGCTACGCACTTTCCTTTCGATAGGCGTACATACATACATACATACAATGGAAGAAAAAAAGAGACAAAGGATGAGAATACGGAACAGGGGTGACGCACAGACACAATGCCCATAAAATGAGCGGAGGCCCGCTCACTTGCTAGTGTGTGCGTGTGTGTATCTGAGAAATGTGTTTGAGTTAGTCAAACGGATTTCCACGCTCCTACTCCTCAGGAGGGCGTGCGCTCCCTTTGCATTGCTTTTACGTGCCGTGTCTCCCTATGAACCATTGAATAAATACGTGTGTGTAGATGTGTTCCTTGCTGGTGTTCCTTTGCCTTCTCGCAAGCCGATATCATCCGCTGTGTGTCTTCATGTTGAAGAACATATTGCTACCGCCGGGAAGAAAAGTGACGTTTCGCATCGGCACCAACTGCGACGCGATGTCAACCGCGGCCTCGATGCGGCGCAGCTCCAGCAGCCCCGACCCGGAGCGCTTGACCGCCTCCGAGATGAGCCGCGCTGACTCGGCCTCACCTTCCGCTCGCACAATAGCCGCCTTCTTCTTCTGCTCGTTCTCCTGCACGACGTAGCGGAACCGCTCCGCCTCCTGCTGGGCGACCTGCTTCTGCTCCACAGCAATCATGAACTCCTTACCGAACTGAATGTCGACAAGGGAAAGGTCTTCCAAGATGAGGCCGAATTGCGACACCCTCTCCTGCATCAGCTGGTAAATGCGTGCCGACACTGAGTCACGCTTCTGGATCAGCTCCTCTGCCTTGTACTCCGCCACAACAGCCTTGAGAACTTCGTTGCTGACGGAGGGGAGAATGCGCTCGTCATAGTCCATTCCGAATGTGCGGTAAATTTGTGGTAAACGCTCAATTTGTGGGCGGAAGAGCACACGCAGACGGATGTTCACCATCTGAAGATCCTTTGTCCCTGTCATCGTCTGCAGTACACGGGGCCGAATGCGGATGTTGAACATCTTGATATCGTCCAGACCCAGGATTCGGCACTGCAGACCCTCACCGTACACCGATTCCTTGAGCCCAGTGATCTTGTTGTAGAGGATTGCAGCCTCCCCAGGGCGCACGACGAAGCAACAACTGTAAATACCGGCCGAGGCCGCCGCCACTCCGATTGCCAACCGCTGGAGAAGCTTCGCGCTCATAGTATTACGTTACTTTACTAACGGATGTATATGCCCTAGTGGTAGTAGCACCAGCACCAGCAGCAGCAGCAGGGGGNGGGGGGGGGGGGGGGGGCAGAAGCATCATGAGAGAAAAGTAGGCAGTGGGCAAGAGGAAAAGGGGAAGGGAGGGGGAGCAGCGAGCACGCGTCGTTTGACTAATGGGAATTCTTCGGCAACTCGTCCTCCACAGTCAACACAATTTTAATTCCTTGTCTTTAGCGATCATGTCTTGTTTTCCTTTTCTTTTCTTTTCTTGTGCTCACGGAAAATCGGGTATCCATTTTGCATTGAATTTAGTCTGTTTTTGTTGGCAAACATTTATTGGCAGTCTTAAACGCTTCGACCACGTCGGCGGCAACCCCCTCGAGTGGCATTTCGAGCCACCGCTCAATCGTCTCATCATCCACGACTCCAACGGCATGCAATGAGGCAATAATACGGCCAGTGAGCGGCGCCTGCCCATGCGTCGGCATCTCCGCCAGGGACTGCACAACGGGGAGTGGCAGGAGGACGCACTCGTCTGGCGGCGGACGCGGTATCTTCCCCCAGAACTCCATCAACGTATCGAGTACTGACTCATCTGGCTCACGCATCATGCCGTACGCCCTGCAGAGAACACGTGCGGTGTCGTAGTACACATCCGCGGCGACGTCCTCACCGGATGTTATGCGCAGCATGTTTATGAAGCGCTCGCTAAACTTTGGCACGTCCTCGAGGATGCCTTCCTCGATGGCGGTGGCCAGCGCCATGGCGAAGCCGTCGAACACCTCGTCGTCTGCGAGGAGGAGACCTACTATAAGGAAGCTGCTCGCCTCGCGCTGCGCCTCCTTCTTGGTTGTCATACACGCCTCACGCACCACCTCTGCTGCCGCTGCCTTGCAAAGCGCATCCCCCGAGTCAAAGTGCCGCTGGCAGTTGCGAAACTCGTTCATCCATTCCGGGATGAAGTCGTTCGTGCACTCCGCCACCCACTCTTGGAAGAGCGAACGTACTCGTGCCTCAAACGTCACCACCGGCTCGGGTGCCCGCAGGACGCCGGGGTCACACGGCGACGCGGCAGTCTTGACAACGTTGCGCCAGTTCCGCCATCCCAAATCTCCTGAAGGAGCTGCCGCCACCGCCGCCGGTTGGCTTGGCGCCGAATCAGGGAAGACGGCCGTCTGCTTGTTCTTCTTGGCGCCGCTCGTGGGCGTGTTGGTCGCGTTGACTGTTGCCGGTGAGCGTGTGGTGGGTTTGTCGGTAACGCGCAGCGGCTCCTTCTGTGTGGCGGCGGAGGTCTTTGGTGCGGCGGCCGCACGCGGCTCCCAGTTGAGGTCGCGCCGCAGCTCAATGAGGTCGAGCATCTTGAAGCGGATGCGCGGTGGGTACACCTCCTTCTGGTCCTTCAAGTGCTCGAGGAGTTTGAAGTAGCCGTCCACCTTGGCGCGCAGCTCCGGAACGGCGTCGAGGCTCTCGCCAATCGTCAGGAAGAGCTCGGTGAGGAACTCAATATCTTCACTCGTCGGATGGCCACCCTTCTCCGCCTCCTGCATTATGGTCTGAATAATGTTCATCATGGTGTTATGCGAGAGTACCTTGTGCATGAACAGTTCCCCGACAAACTTCATGTTTGCACGTTTGCGTCGCATGAAAGTAGTGCGTTGAAGCTCAATCTCCTCCTCAGTGAGGCCCTCCACCGAAGGCATTTTCCGTCGGCTTTGAAATTCCTCCTGCGCGATGCCAACAACGGCATTGCGCAACTTGGAGTGCTTCCTGCCCTCAGCTGGCTGCTTCGCCGCGGTGAGACTCACCTCGTACTCAGCAAGCTTGTAGCACATACCTGCGTACGACTTGCTGTTCTCCGGCTCCTCGAGTGCCTTCTTGAAGATGAGCCCCACCGTCTTTTTCAGTGTCTCCTCCGTGGAGAAAATGAGGTTCGTCTGCAGCCTTGCCACCATCTCGTCAAAGTTCGCGACGCTCAACCTGTTGAGGGATCCCTGCACACGCCGCTCCACCCACTCCTCCGTTGTCTTCGCCGACCCGCGGACGACCCATGCGTTGGGGCCCCGTACGAGTTTTGTCTGCGTCGACTTCTTCCTGCGGCACGCCTCCTCGAGGGAGAAGCCGGGGTACGGCGGCTCCTTGTACAGGGAGCGCACGTCAAGAATCTGCTGAATCGAGTAAACGTGCATGTGCGTCCCGCCCCTGTGCTAGACCAAAAAAAAGTGAGTCACCAGCGATCTAGGAAAACACACACACACACACACTTACACTTACACCTAAACACAATACTGCGATTAATTCCTTTCTTGCTCGCCTGCGTCTTCAGCTGCACACGTAAGCAAGGGCATGGGAGAGAACGAGAGCAGCAAGGGAGAAGTGGTGTCAGACATCAAACAATGTCGCAAAGACACATGAAGACAGCTCCACCCACACACCCTCCGCCACCTTGGCAAAAGGGATTTATAAACAACAAAAACAGAGGAGCCGTGGAGGAGTTGGAGGCGGGAGTGAGAAAGGATGAGCAAAAACGAAATAACCAGATCGATGTCATACCTTTCTCAGCAGGGGAAGCAGTGCCAGCAACACCAATGCGGGCGTACGCACACGCACACGCACACACAGACACCCAAGCGCTCCACCCCCACCCCCCGCCCCCCCCTCTCCGCATCAGAGATTCATGATGTCATCAAGAAACGCATCGACCTCATCGCGATGCCCAGCCGCCGGCCTCTCCGACAAACTTGCTCCAGTTCGTGTCGTTGGTACACAGCATTCGCCCCGTTTTTCCTCCACACGCTGACGCTTACTGTTGCCCGCTGATGCAGCCTTGCTCAATCGTTGTGCCTCGGCGATACGCTTTGGCAGGAAGCCGGGCTCCAGCCGCCCTCGCTCCATGTCCATCACCACTGCACGCCCACAGAGGCGTCGCTTGCGACTACTAGCCACCGCCTTGCGCGCTTCCGCCTCCAACCCAAACTGCACAAAACCGTACCTGCGACTCTTTCCGGAGTTGTCACAGATAAGGCGCACACTCACCACGCGGCCAAACTGCTCGCTGAATGCCCGGATGTCCTCCTCCACCGCCTTGGGCGGCAGGCTCGATACCACCACTGTACGCTGAGGGTCCGAGCAGATCTTCACGTCTGTGTACGGATTGCGACGAGCCATCTCGCGTCGCATCTGTTGATCCCAGGCGATTCCTTTGTCACTGGGCTCCTCGGCGCCCGCATCCTCCGTGGCAGAATTCGGCCGCGGCGGTGGCACCGGAGGTCCTTCCGCTGCGGCCAGCTCCATTGCCCGCTTGAAGAAGTGGTGGACAGGAGCGCCAGCGATGGGCTCGCGGCGGCGGCGGTGGTGAGACGTGGGAACAAACGCTGGCGGCGGCCTACTCTGGAAGAAGGACGCCTTCCACCGCGCGTGCTCCTCCACCCGCCGCCTGAGCGCCTCGTGGAGCGCTATATCCTTCTCGCTCGGGGCCTGCATACACTACTAGTAAATGAGGCAAGAAGGCAAAGCAAAACAAACAAAAATAATCACAAGAGAAACATGACAAAAGAACAAATCCCAATAAATGGAGAGAGAGAGAGAGAGGAACATGTCATAATTACTCCTCGTGGCTGTCATACGTTTAAACTATCTCCAGTTGGAGGGGCCGGAGCATATATACGTAACACTCACAAAATGTGTTTTGGTATTCTATTTATTTGCCTACTCTCAACAAAAAAAAAGAGTCAAACAACAAACAAATATTCATATAGAAGCAAGGTTGCCACGCCACTGGGTAACTACCTTTTGTCCCATAATGGAAGAAAACTGAAATAAAAGGGGAAAAGTGAAGCCAAAAGAAAATAGGACTGCGCTCTTTGGAAATCGCGGATGCTATGAGGAAGTAGAAGAAGAAGAGAGTGTAACTCTACGCATGCACACTGCTCACAGAACAACCATCATTTGTCTCTGGAGTCATGCTGTGCAATGTTGCCGTAGACGAAGCGTCTTGTATCGCTGGCGCATCCACGTAACAGTACAACTTGCGTGTTGGGTTGGACACAAGTCCCTCAGCGGCAAAGCGTAGCCACATGGCGGAGGAACGGAAAATATCTAGCTTCACAAGGTTTCGAAGTTCTCCTGGCGATAGCCGAAGCCCTGAGTGTCGCCGCTCATTTCGTCGGGTCATGATCTGCTTCCGCGCCTCGGCATAGACGGCCGGCGGCACGTGCCACTCCCTGCAGAATGTCGCCTCTCCGCTGCTGAGGGTCTCCCACGTCGCCTGCTCCTCCGTCAGCGACTCCATGGGTTCGCCGAAGATGGGCTTCACGCCAGTGAGGTGGCTGAGGCCGATCACCCATGCCTCGAGCTCCCCTACTGAGTCGCACACAAATTCGAGTGTCTTTTTCACGTTGGAGTGGGGGAACACGAGAGCCCAACTCAGGTAGTACTCGGTTCGTTCCCCCACGTTCTTTCCTCTCCCAAGTAGGATGTGCGTGACAGAGCGCAGTGGGGCGTAGCCTTCACGTCCCAGCGCCCCCACGGAGGACCAGCATAGCCGCTCGTCGTCAGCCTTCCTCGTGACGTACAAAAGCCGGCGGTGCCCTGAGCCGTCGCGTGAAAACTTGGTCACCTCTCCACCCATCCTCACGAATGAGAGAACGTCCTCCAAGAGCGCAGCCTCATCAAAGCGGGTGCCACGTCGCTTTTTGTCGCTACTGCTTTCCGAGCCCTTACGCTGCCAATACTGCCGTGGACGCCGCATGCCGTAGTCGTTGAAGCCTGGGTGTCCAGCAACCACCTCAAGCTCCTGTCGACGGCGCCGCGACTCCTTTCTGAGCGAAGCCCCCACTGCATTGCCTGCCATCCCCCACACAGCTTGCCGTAGCCACTCATAAATAGTCTTCGGCTGTTGAAGTTTTTGTTTTCGCTTTTTATGTTGTTCCAACTCTGAAGCAAGCCGTTGGGTATCGCGCATTAAAGTGCACAACCCCAAACGCATGTGTGCTGCCTCAGCGGCCCTCGAAGCATGCGCCGAAAGGTGCTCCCACAACTCATCCTGCTGCTTCCACAATTTCGATGCCGATGTCGGCTCCGCTGGCGCGGCGGAGTCATACTCCAAAGTATTCTCTACTGTTTCCAACTCGCGAGTCACAGCACGCAGTGTACTTACGGCCTCTGAGAGGCTTGCGGTAGTCCTGGTGTGCTGCTGCTGGACACCTCGGCGGGCCGCTCGGGCATCGCCAAGGTGAGCAGACGCTTTCTCGAGCAGTTTGATCTGCGTCTGCTGTTCAGAGGTATCATTCTGCACCTTCGTCTGAGCTGAGATACTTTCAATGAGTGCAACGCATTCATCTCGCTTGTTTTTCCAGTTGGTGACCAGCTCATCGCAGCATATTCGTCTCTCCTTCTCCATCTCACGCTGGTCCTGCGACGCACCGTGACGGTTCTCCTCTGCGGAGGCCCTGAAAGCCTCGCACATCATCGACGCTGCCATCCGACGAATCTCACAATCTGGCCGTCTGACCCGAAAATTCAAATCGTACAAAACATTGCTCTTGTCGTCTGCGACAAGGCGAATGATTTGGGGGCCGGAGAACTTATGCAGTACACTTGCAATGCGCAGGTCCGCTATCAGTTCATCGTATTTTCGCAGCGCCGAGAGGTAGTCACCCGCTAAATCATTCCCTGCCACATTGTAGCCACCACCACCCGGGGCCGGTTTCATCATCTTCACCTTGTCGGCAAAGTAGAGGGAGGAGAGCGTCTCGTCGACGGTGAGAACCGTCGGACTCACGTTCACGATGAGGACAATGCGGGCATTCGGCGCGGCGAAAGAGTCGCGAAGTACCGTCGTCAGCTTAGAGTCGCGGTAGGGAGTATGCCTTGATCCCTCGTACAGACAATGCACGACGTTCCCGAGGGCAGTGAGGGAGGCGTTGATCTTCTTAAGCTCCTCAAAGCCCTCGCCACGCACGTCAGAGTTGCGCGCCTTCTCACTACCCGCCAAGTCTGCGAGTGAAAGCTTACTGTACATCACCGGAGCCTCCGCGGTCCCGAGCAGCGCGTTGGAGGCGCCATTGAATGGCGCGGGCGGGCGCAGTCGCGGCAACCTCCCCTCTAGCTGCGCAATCTCAGCCGCCTCTTTGAGGGCGAGACACTCCGCGAGGTTCATTGGCTGCGCGGTCGCCGAAGCGATGGGCCGCTGAAACACCTCAATGGTAAAGACAGCGTGGGAGCGTGATGAGGTGTCGTTCGCAGACGTCATTCGCTGTGCCCGCCGCGCCGTTGCCTTCTGAAACACCTTCAGTCCGTCATCGAGGCTCTGGATGCGCACGTGCGTCAGCTGGGGGAAGCGCAAAACATCCTTCATGACAACCATCTGGATAGCAGCGGGGGATTGTTCGCTGCGCAGTAAATCACGCACCTCATCAAGGTATATCTCAACTGCTGAGATGCACACAACGAGGTGACGGTTGCTGCTCTGCAATGAAGCGTAGTGCAATATCTCCTGCAGGGCACGCAGGAGGATGCCGGTGTCGGTCGTGATGATGTCGTCACTCACCGGGTCCTTACGCACACTACCGAGAACGGTATATGTTTTTCCACTGCCTGTTTGGCCGTATGTGAGGATAGCCGCGTTTGTGCCGCTAAGCACATTATCCACAGCAGCCATCGCGAGCTCCTCATATATTTCCTCCTGTGAGGTGTTCTCGTCAAATACGCCATCGTATGTGAAGGAAAAGGTGCGACTGTCCCTCGACGCCCGCCCATCCCATAGACGGAGAGTCGTGTCAGAGTACTGCGAGCACGCCACCTGTTCGTAGCGTTCCGCCGCCTGCAGGGCATTCACAGCGCCGTCGAGTTTTGGTCGTATCCGCACACCCACCGTGACACGTTTTGACTCTTGTAGCATGTCTTCTCTCTATTGGCCCAAAAGCCTGGAGATTCCCAAGTCTCTACGATCTCCCTTTGATTCCCTTGGTGGTTGCAGCCGCGTTTAGAGCCACAGCAAACCAACGACCTGTGTGTTGGCGTGAGAGGAATTATATCAGGTACCAAGAATATGGAACACATACAGGCCCATAACGTCAAAAACGAAAGAGGAAAAAAATGACGAAGAAGGCATAATGTACAGCAGCGACAGAAACAAAAATGGGACAGGAGAGAAACAGATGGGCATAACGCCTCACCACACTCAAGACACAAACACAAACACACACACACACACACTTCTCGTCGCTCACTGCACATACACGCACGCACGTCAAGAGAGTGACATACGCATAGCACTAGCTACATGGTGAAAACGATGCCTTCCACCATGAGCTTCTCGATAGCAGGCTTGATCAGCATTCGTATCGTTCCCTCCACCTTGCTGTTCGCACCGGGCACGGTGCCAAAATTCGACACCACACGGAAGCTCTTGAGTGGGTCTCCGAAGAGCTGCGCCTTTACCATGCGCCGCTTCACCAGCACTTTTTTCGTCATGATGTCCGCAAAAGACGGCGCCCCGCTGCGCATGTGGGTGGAGGACCTCAGCGTGGCGCCGGTGGTCTGCTCCGTGTCGAGCGATGACAGCGAGCCCTCGATTGTGTCAAGCACACCGGGCGGCCGCATCGCACGCCGGCCGCCGCTG